GGCTCTTCCAAAGTGGTATGATCTAGGGAGAGGTGTGCTTACTACTCTTCTGTACCGTGCAATGGTTTGTGAACTACCACAAACACTCTTTTCCACCCTGGAGCTGTAACCAGGGTACCTGCTCCCCTGAAGCTGCAAGCTCTGCTGTGCCAGTGCTCCTCCTCACACTGGGACTAAGACCCAGGACTGAGACCCAGATCTAAGTAAAGGTAATGCAACAGAGTCCTGCCCCTGGAGCCAGCAAAGGAACCCTTGTAAATCTTCTTCTGACCCATTGTCCAATCCCCTTAGCATCTGTGGGCTGAGAGGTCTGGAAACTACCACTGCTGCCACTGATTCAGTTGCCCCAGGTTTGCTCCTGGTTTGCTGGGGCTGTGTCTATGCTGGCATGGCCTGTGCTGGACTGTGCTCCTTTCTCACCCTGATACAGCAGATCTTTCCTGCTGACCTTCTAAGTCAGGACTGTACAACAGGGGCCACTCGCAGCCCATCAAAGGATTTCAGGCAGCCTACAAAAAATGTAGAGGGTGTCAAAGGAAATAAAGATTAACAAGTGCTTTGTCCATGTCCCACTTAACCCACCTTCTGCTAGTCACTATTGTGCCATCATGTAACTTGGTGGGTGGCTTGCCACTGCGCACTCTCTCCTGTTTGTCATGTGACCTGTGGCACCCAACCATCTTCAGTCTGTCTCTAGTGACTAGACTATCTGCAACCTGAAGAAGTTTAGCTTATTTTAATTTTGGCCCCTATCTACTGCCAAGTTGTGCAGGTCTGTTCTAAGTTGTCTTGGGCTGGAAAATTGTTTTACTCCATCTTATTGTGGGTTCTGCCACTCCAGAATTTGTTTAGAGTCATTTATTTAAAGGTATTTGGAAGGGTTTCAGGGAGAGCTCAGGCAAGGCCCTGCTTTTACTCCACTATCTTGGCTCAGTCTCCTAAGTTTTAGAGTTTTTCTAAACCCACATGGGGCCCTTGGAAGTTCCAGGAAACACCAGAGACCAGGATCAGTGGGACTCAGACGTGGACTTTCCAGAATACTGAGGGCCCTAACACTCTACACTGAGATACCATAGAGGATTCTCAATATTCAGTGCTCTCAAATTCAGAGATCCAGGGGGCCTGACAAAAGAAGAAGAGGAAGAGGAAGAAGAAGAAGAGGAGGAAGAGGAGAAGGAGGAAGAGAAGGAGGAGGGGGAAGAAGAGGAGGAGAAGGAATCTGGGTGACCCAGTGTAAGAGCAAGCTGGGCTGACCACCTCACTAAAACACACCAGAATGAGTGAAACCTAGCTTGGCACAAAGTCCTAATTCACAATCTAAAGCTGGAGAGATGAATAAACCAAAGAAGATACAACCCAATAAAATTTTTGAAAGCCAACAAATCTAGAGATCCTCTCAAACTGAAAATCTAGAGATTCCCTCAAAGAAGGTATGAATAACTCCTTAAGAACTTCTAGCAGAGGGGCAGCTAAGTGGGCACAGTGGATAGAGCACTGGACCTGGAATCAGAAGGACCTGAGTTCAAATCAGGCCTCAGACACATGATGCTAGCTGTGTGACCCTGGGCGAGTTACTTAACCCTGACTGCTGCACCAAAAAGCAAAAACCAAAACAACAACAAAAAAACTTCTAGCAGCGTCTTAAAGGAAAAAATGAATTTTCCACAAAAACTACATGAATACTTAGAAAAAATGAAACAAGAGTTTTTTTTTAAATGAAATAAACATTCAAGGATATATATGAAAGGAGAATAAATAACCTGGAAGAAAAAAATGGTAAACCTTAAAAAACTAATGTACTCCCTGGAAACTAGAATAAAGAAAATAGAAATCAATGATTCCATTAGATAGCAAGAAATATTAAAACAAAAATAAAAAGTTTGATAAATAGAAGACAATTTAGGATATCTGATATAGAAAAAAAAACTGACCTGGAAAATGAGACAAGGAGAGATAATTTTAAAATTATTTGACTCCCTAAAAATCATGATTTTAAAAGAAAACTGGACACTCCATTTCAAGAAATCAAATGAAAACTGCACAGATTTATTAGAGATAGAAGCAAAGTGTAGAAAGAATCCGCCTATCACTTCCTGAAATGTCCCAAAAGGAAAAGTCCCAGAAGTGTCAAAGCTAAAATCTAGAGCTCCCATGTCACAGAAAAAAATATTGCAAGCATCCTGAAAGAAGCAATTCAAGTATCAAGGGACCAGTCAGTCAGAAAACATTTGTTACTCACCTACTATGTGCCAGACACTGTGCTAAGCACTAGGAATACAAATACAAAGAAGAAAGATAGTATCTCAAGGAACTTACAGTCTAAAGGGGGAAGACAACAAACAAAAAGAAGCTGAAAAGGGAGGAGTGAGAAAGAGGGAAGTTTGGGGACATGATGGAGAAGTCCAGAGAAATGTAGCTAGATTCAAATAAAGAAGTGGCTGGTCTGGAGCTCTTTATCCTGTAATTAGAATGAGTCCCAGGGGCAGAGGATACCACAGTCAGGATCACACAAGAGCTAGCAGCTTCTACTAAAAATGAGCGGAGATCTTGGAATCAAATATTTCAGAAGTCCAAAGATATAATCCTACAGGGTAAAAAAAAGTGGATCTTTAATGCAATTGAGAACTTTTAAGCATTTTTGATGAAAAGTTCAGGGCTGAGTAGGAACTTTGAAATGTAAACACAAGAGTCAAGAGAAACCTAGAAAAGCACATTTATCTGAGCAATTGGAAATGGCCCAATGATGTTGTAGTACTAACATTTTAATAAGGTGAAAAGAAACAAGTGTCCCTTCGGAACTTTAATGTCTTCAGTTGGCATTGAGGGAATGAAGTCAGAAAAACAGAAGACTCCTGGGAGATGGATTGGTTCCATTCTGAGAGTTTGAAAATGGTAAAGAGGGAAGAGAGTAAGAAGAAGATGATATTAGTGTAGAAAGGAGAAAAAAAGGAGTAGAACTTTGCGCTTCTCATAATTGAGGTGCTTGGGCAGAAGGGTAAAAAAATGGAAAAAGGGTAAGGGGACAAGCATCAGATAAACCTCAATCGTAAATGAAACAGATAAGAGAGTATTGTTATGTTACCCACCTCCTGACAAAGAAGTTAACAGGCTTCACAAGTGGACTTCACAATAGACTGCACAAGGTGAAGAAAGAGGAAGCAGGGCTCTTAGTGAGTGGCCCACCTGCAGATGGGAGGGTAGAGAAGGAGATTAAGGACTTCCAATCATGAGACATGCCCACCTCTAGGGTCCATCACCCCATTAACATACAATTTTACACAGCAAGAGGGTGATATAATAGATACAAAGGGAGAGGGTCTAAAAGGGAGGCCCTCCCTATTAGATTGTTGTGGGGTACCCTCAGCAAGTCACCAAAAAAGAGTAATATAGTCTCAAAATGCTTCTCATCTTCTGAGAACAAGTTACTCAATCCTGCTGTCATGACTAAGAGAAAGGTTAAGAACTAACACAATCATCTCTCCTGCTTGCTGTATATCTCCACTGGATGTCCCACCTGGCCCTTAAACTGAGCAAGCTGAAATCTAATCTCCTTATCCTTCCTACTAGCAAAAAACAAACTTTTCATTTGTTCTTCTCCAGGCTACACCCCTGACTGTCCCGAATTTTTTCTACCAAACCCTAGAAACTTCTTAATGCTGGAAGCACAGTCCACCCCTGGACAACTTCTCATATTGGAAGTACCCTCTGCCCCTGCAGCTTTTCCCTCTTAAGGGCTGATTCCTCCCAGAATTTCTATTTTAAGGGGGAGGCCCAGATATCCAGATCTTCATTTCTCTCTAGGCTGCACTCTTGACTCTCATAGACTCTCTCTACAATACCCCCACACCAAGTACCTTAATCTCTTCCCCTATACCAGCTCTCTTTTACGTGTTGTTTTCTTCTATTAGAATGTAAGCTTCTTGAGGGTAAAAATCTGTCTTTCTGTTTGACCATGGCTCATTCCAATTGTTTGTTGTTGTTCAGTCTTGTCCTACTCTACACCACCCCATTTTGTTCATGGGATTTTCTTGGCAAAAGTACTGGAGTGGTTTACCATTTCCTTCTCCAGTATGTTACCATTTTATAGATGAGGAGCTGAGGCAAATAGGAACTAAGTGACTTACCCAGGGTCACACAACTAGTAAGTGTATGAGGTCATATTTGAACTCAGATCTTTCTGACTCCAAGCCCACTGTTCTATTCTACTACATGACCTAGTTGTCTCACATGGCACATAGTAAGCACTTAATAAATGCTTGTTAACTTGCCTTTACTTGAGACAGCTTATGCAAAGACAGATGGGAAATGGAATGTCACATACAAGGCCAGTTTGGCCAAGACTTGAGAAAAGAAGAAGAGAGAGGATTTATGCTGAGAAATTTGTAGGAATAGAAGGAGTTAAAGAGCTTTTCATTTCAGTTCCTCATTCTCAGTGAATGGGAACAGCCATGTGCTATAAATGGGGACAGGGAGAGAAAGGATCAAAGAGAAACTAAAAGGGTTGAAACAGTCTGTATGGGGAATAATACAGGAATTTGGTTACATTTTTCCTTGCCAAAATATAAAAAAAAATCCACATTTTCTTCTTTCCCTTCCCCCCTCCCTGTCCCCCTCCACCAATAATTTCAAACCAGCTCTAAGACAGAGGCTACTTAGGGGCTTCATCTCAACCTTCTGCTGCCATCCAGTGGTAATTTTCAGATAGTACTCAATCAAGGCCCTCGAACTTGAATGAAGACTAGGCTACGCTGGAGCTGAGCGGTCAGTGTGGTGACTATTCAAGGTTGGCAAGCACAGGAGAAAAAGCTTTGGTATTTTCTCAGTTGCAGGGCTGGGAGAGGGCAAGAGGGAGGTGAAGAGGGGTGCTCCTAGTTTCTGTGAATACTCAGAATTAGGGAGGAAGGTAGGTAGATGGACACAACTGATGGAAAGAAACTTGAAGAATCAGCTGATAGAAACCCCTCCCACCCAGATAGGCAAGCATACACCCCCTCCACTTCCCTCTTCACTTTGATTTGGACTATCTGGAGGAAATGATGCTTCTGTGGGAAATAAAAGCAGACACTAACTGATGAGATCTCACTTTCTCACTAACATTTTGAAAATCAGCAGGGGTCTTACATAGACTCAATGAACCCTTCTCTATAGGCCCAGGACAAAGAATCATCCTTCTCCATTCCTCTCGAGTTAGCCCAGGAACAGACAATGAGGCTTCTACTGCTCTGGGGCTGGATCGTCATTCCAGGTGAGAACGGAATGGATTTGACTAGAAAGCCCCTGGGGTGGTAGGAGGGACGAGGATTTGGGATTTTTCAAGACAACCCAGCTGCTCCAGAGAGAAAGGGCTTTGTATTCTCCTTCCCTAAAACCAACCTTTCAGGCCAACTCTGATCAGCCCATCTGCAGCCTCCCTCTCCCACTCCACCTATCCCATCCAACCCTATTGCTCCCAAACCAACAATGTCCACTCTCCCTTTTCCATCTTGAGATGCCAAGAGTGTATTGGTTCTGGTGGTTTCTTAGAGAAAGATACTCAGTTCCTAGGGAATAGCACCTGAGCTCAGCCTCTTGGGCTTGGAAGTTGTAAGGCCCCTCTTGCCTTTACAGTGTGAGCTTTGTTTGACAGTGTGAGTTAAGTCAATTGCTTTCCTTAACACCTTTTATTCTCCTGCTTGTGACAATGGAGCTCATAATCCTGACTCCGTTTTCCAAGGGAAACTGGGGGGGGTACTACTAATTAATCTCAGAGCATGTCAAAAGGAAGAAGCAGAGGAATTCTGAGGGGAAAGACTCCATTCCATCTTCCCTGCAGGAACTGAGCCTATGTAGCTCCAGGCATTGCCAACTTTATTCCACTTATTTCAGGTTATGAAGCTTTGGTGGGTCCAAAGGAAGTCAGTGGGCCAGAGGGAAGCTCTCTGTCTGTGCAATGCTCCTATGAGGATAAGCATGAAGACAAGAAAAAATATTGGTGCAGAGACAAGGGAATAATTTTTAGCCTCTGTGACACTTTCATCATCACAGAGGCAGGAAAAGAAGAGACAGATGGCAAGGTGTCCATCAAGGACAATCCTGAAAATCGAACATTCACTGTGATCATGAGGGAAGTCACCCTGAAGGATGCTGGGAAATATCAGTGTGGGATTTCCCTAATTGGATTTGATGAGATTTTTGCAGTCACTGTGGTTGTTTCTTCAGGTAATCTTTTCTCTTTCTAAACTGAGAGGACTGAGGCTGAGGTGGGCTAGGGGTGGGAAGGGTGCTATGGGAATGATCAGCAAGATATTCTGAGAGTCAGTATTGGAAAGTGATAGATTTGGTACAGTTTTTAACCTTTATTCACCAAGGTGACCTTGGGTAAGTCACTTCCCCCTCAATGGACCTCAGTTTCCTTACCTGTAAAGGGAGGAGGTATCTTTCAATACTATTGTGTAGAGAGCTGTCATAGGTTGGAAGCAAAAGAGGTGAGTCCTAATGACTACCCCCCACCCCCACAGTCAAGGTCATTCCTAGGTATTTCTGAGCCTGGGATGATACTGTATTTCTGTGTCCTCTTTACCTCCCCCCACCACATTGACCATTCACTCAGTCTAGGGCTGCTTCCTACTGGAATCTCAAAAGCCCACTCATAGCTACTAGAAGATGCTCTTTAGGCTCTGTCTGCTCCACAGGAGGTCCCCAGAGGCAAAGTCCCCTCTGATCCCCTCAGGATGCAATGAACTCACTACTCCCTACAGTTCTCAGCCGACATTCAGCTTTCACCCCCAGCTTCATGAGGTTCTTTTGTTTGGAGCTGAGGACCCTGAAGAGTTTGAGTAGTCTGGGCACTGAGAGGATTGGGGGTCTTAGGACAAGAGTCATTGAGAGTTTGGGGAATGGAGACATTAATAGCCTTGGGTGCTTGAAGCCAAGATCACTAAGGGATTATGGGGTTGGGAAAGGCTTGGGGTTGGGGCCATAAATTCATTGAATTTCTTAGTTTTAAGGGACCTTAGGGCTCACCTCTAAATTCTCTCTAAGGCCCCTCTCTGAGATCTCAAGACATTATTAAATGATTCATCTAGAGCCACACAGCTATAACTCAGGTATTCTTCCAGTATACTTTCCCCTCATCAATAAAGGGAAGGAAATAAGCCTTTATTAAGTACATTCTGTCTAGCACTGTGCTAATCACTTCAAAAGTACTTAATATTTAATATACACACATATCTCATTTGAGCCTCACAACAACCCTAAGAGGTAGGTGAAGTTATGATCCCCATTTCACAGTTGAGGAAACTGAGGCAGAGAAAGGTTAAGTGACTTGCCTGGGGTCTCACAGCTAAGGAGTATCTGAAGCCAAATTTGAACTCAAGTCTTCCTGACTCTAGGCCAAGCACTCTACCCACAGGGCCACCTAGCTACTTCTTCATTGACTTCACTGGGGAAGGGGCTTGGGTCATAGACAGGCTTAGAGCTAGAGCTGTGGGGGAAAGTAGGTAGGGCTAGCCAGATGTTGGGGGAAAGGAGGCTTCTTCTCTGTGTAGGACAAAACACACCTGGACTTACCATAGGTGTCACATGTTAGATTGGTTAGGAAGAGAATGGTCAACTGAGAATTCCATGCCCAGTCAGTCTTGATTGGGGTGGGGATGACATTGTAACTGAAGAAGAGATGAGAGGATAATGGGAGTCTATCCTGTATTGGCAATAAGGATCCTCTAAAGATTATAAAGCAAGGGAGTAACATGATCCAATTAGTACCATAGGAAGATTATACAGGCAGCTGTGGGCAGGGTAGATTATAGAGGGTGGTACAGACTGGATCTTCAGACACCAGCAAGTTAATGCAGCAATCATAGTGATGGAGAGGCAAGTGTGGAGTAAGCAGCAGAATAAGCAAGCTGTGGGATCCTAGGCAAGTTTCCTCATCTATAAATGGAGATAGCAATGTTTACACAGATCTTAAACAAGTCTCTTAACCTCTTCAGGCCCCAGTTTCCTCATCTGTGTAAAATGATTGGCCCAGGTTGGCCTAAATGGTCTCTAAGGTCTCTTTTGAATCTAAATCTAATAATTCGCTGATTCTAATGCTTATCATTCTAGAAATGAGTTTCCATTAACATAAGAACATGATGAGGGTGGTTTCTGGTAGAATAAAAGGAAAGGAATGGTTGGTTTTAGATGTGTATTTTGAAAGAAAAATCAAGGATTTGGTGACTGCTTTGGTTGTGGAAAATGAAGAAGCAAGAGATCAAAAATGCTTCAAAGTTTTAAGCCTGGGTCACAGGGGAAAATGGTGGTCCAGGTATAGAAATGGGACACTGGCAGAGATGAAGGGCAGTGTTATACTGGAGAAAACTGGACTTGAACATTGAGAATCTGGGTTGGAAACCTCTTCCACTTAACTACCTGTGTGATTTAGGACAAATCACTTAACCCCTCTGGGCTTCAATCTGCCCTTCTATAAAATGAAAGGGGTTAAGTACTTTAGAGCTCTAAATCTATGAATCTGTGACCTGATATTTGAGGATTGTCAGCTTCACTGCTAGGATTCCCTCCCTAGAAAGGAAAATTGAGAGCTGGTTTTACTCCTTCCAATGAGCACAAGAGATTGATTGCCCTTGATTGAGTGATGGAGGAGCTGGGACTTCCTCATAGTAAAAGGTCTGATTTGGAGTCTTGAGCTCTCCAGGTCTGTTGTAATGTGCAGTGCGTATTAGCCCAAAACAGGATCCTGCCTTCTCCTTTCTCTTTATAGGGCTTGGGAGTTCTGTCTCCCCAAACTCCTCCCTTCAGCCTCTCTCTACAAGGAGTGTCCAGCAAGGGGCAAAAGTTTGGGAAACTCAGTCTCCAGAGTTGAGTGAGTGATTGATTTTGGGGGAGTGGTGAGGGTGGGATGGGGGATGCCTTCTGTGCTAGAGAAGTATTGTGTCATGTAGGCAAGGGACTGTGCCCCTGTGTTCCTGCAGAGAGAGGGTAGGCTAAGTGGAAAAGGGTGTTGTCTGTTATTAGCCACCATCTCCTTCCTTCTCTGTCTGACCCTGATCGGTGTACCCATTGACATAAAATCAAAGTACATTGAGCAGGGAGAAGGGGCAGTGATGTGCTGGGGCTAGCCTGCAGTAGCTCTCAAGACCCAATTGTTTAACTCTCAGTGTGAGCATTTATATCTCAAAAATAGGGAAACACACAAATCAAGGAATGATTTGTTGTTTTGTGATGAGGTAAATGTTAATACTGCAGATTAAACTTAAAAGTGTGTGTTTTATGCAATTTTTTCAGAGAGCTTGTGGTTAAACATTTACCAGCATATCCCTAGTATGGGTGAACACTGCAAGGGGGTGGGATCATGGTATAAAGGAATGGAAAAGAGAACAATCTCTGGAGTCAGAGGGCCCGGGTCCAAATCCTAACTCCTCTGGTTACTCTCTGTTACCTTGGACAAGTCACTTTCCTCTTTCAATATCAACTTCCTCCTCTGTGGTACATTGGGGGTTGAACCAACTGACCTCTAAGGTCCCTTCTATCTCTAAATCTATGGTTGTAGGAACCTATAATTTGTTCCTGGGACAGGAGATGGAGCTCAGTTGCATAGTTCATATTGTCCCCACTCAGTGGAGAGATTGGGTATAAGAAGTGGGTGTGGGGAGAGGACAGGTAGGACTCTGGGGGCAGAAGTCCTATGTGGATGTGCAGTGTGTGTTGATGCAGCATACTTGGAGAGAGGGAAGATAAGAATGATGGGTAACCTCATATTCTGGACCATAACCATGCACCCACTTCTGTCCATATGGATAGAAGAACTCAAGCGCTTCTGTCCAAATGTGGCCAGATGTTCTTGAAATGTGGACCATTCAGAATGGATTGGGTTTGGACTTCTTTGATCCAGTCTGGGCCATCTCCTGATTGAAACAGTGCAGAGAAAGTGATGAGGGAAAGGGGTGAGGTTGAATTATTCTCTTTTCATTTGCAGCATGTTCTAGTGCTTATTAGCCCAAGACAGGATTCTGCCTTCTCCTTTCTCTTTATAGGGCTTGGGAGTTCTGTCTCCCCAAACCCCTCCCTTCAGCCTCTCTCTACAAGGAGTGTCCGGCAAGTGGCAAAAGTTTGGGAAACTCAGTCTCCAGAGTTGAGTGAGTGATTGATTTTGGGGGAGTGGTGAGGGTGGGATGGGGGATGCCTTCTGTGCTAGAGAAGTATTGTGTCATGAAGGCAGTGGATTGTGCCCCTATGTTCCTGCAGAGAGAGGGTAGGCTAAGTGGAAAAGGGTGCTGTCTGTTATTAGCCACCATCTCCTTCCTTCTCTGTCTGATCAATGTACCCATTGACATAAAATCAAAGTACATTAAGCAGGGAAAGCAGGCAGTGATGTGCCAGGGCCCAAGACAGGATTCTGAGAGGTCTTCTCAGCTTTCTCCTTTCTCTTTGTAGAGCTTGGTAGCTCTGTCTCCTCACATCTTGCCCTTCAGCCTCTCTCTACAAGGAGTGTCCAGCAGGGGGCAAAAGTTCACCCAAGAGTGAACACCAGGGCAGAAATCCGTCAAAGGGGCCAAGAGACCCTCCAGACAAGAACCCAACAAGATACGGCCCAAGCAGTCACTTCCCACCATAGCTCCAGCGATATGAACCCAAGGTCCAGGTGAGCTCCAGAGCTGAGGTCTCCTCCCTGAGGGTCGCAGTCTTGTCTGCCTCCAACTGTGATGGTAAAGTTCAGAGAAGGGTTCTCCCTCTCCCATCTCCCATCTCTCTCTCCCTCCAATGTCCCTTTCCCTCTTCCATCTCCCTTTCCAATCTCCATTTCTCATCTCCCTCTTCCTCTTCCATATCCTATTCCTTCTCCTAGCTCTCATGTCCCCCTCTCTCTCCCTCTCCCATCTTTCTCCCCCTCCCATCTCTCTCTCCCTCTTCCACTTCCCTTTCCCTCTTTTGTCTCCCTCTCCCATGTCACTCTCCCTCTCTCATCTCCCTGTCTTTCTGTTCCCAGGCCTTTCATCCCATTGATCGAATTCTGGCTCCGTGCATCATCCTCCTGTTGCTATTGGTGGTGACTATAGCAACCATCCTGATCCTGTCAGCAAGGAGAAAAAAAGGTGAGAGCAATAGGCCCTTGAACTAGACGTCTGGCATCCTCTCTAGCTCTGACATTTTATGGTTCTAGGGGTCATTTGGTCAGGGACTAGAGAAATTATCACCCTGGTGAGATATTTGTTGGGGGAGGCAGAGAGACAGGGAAGGGATGGAGGCAAGACTCCCCTGGTGTCCACCATCTAAACATCTTCAGACTCCAGGCTGTGTGGTTCCTCTGATCTCTTCTTAACTCCAATTAAACTAAAGAACACTTATTAAATGTCTGCTTTGTACAAGGTATTCTGCTAAGCAGAGTTCTGTACAATAAGATACCTGAGCAAGGCTGGAGTAGCCTTAAGCTTGGGATTGATGCTGGAGGACCTATCTTAGCAGCCGGATGTGGGCAGTGTTATATTTCTTAGATGTTCTGGAATCTTTGGCATGTGGCTTGAGCTACAGAAGGCTGATAGGACAGGATTGGCCGGAGAGGAGCAGACACTGCTCCAGGTGGATTGGGCTGGCATAGCCCGTTCCTGAGGGGCTGGACTGGCATGAGCAATAGCTTCTCTTGGTGCCAGAGGAAGCTTTAACCCAAAAATGTTGATGATTTGGAGATAGACTAAATAATCTTGCTTTTCAAAGTTCTTGTTAAACTTTTCCCTCTGGAGGACAGCAGAAGGATGTGGGTTCTGGAGATTTCTTATCATTCTCAGAGCTGTCTTTAGGCTGCTCTTTGCCTGAGCCTTCTACTTCTGGAATTTCTTTCAGCTCAAACTGAAGAGGAAACAAGAAAGAATGGACAATTTCACTACTCGAACTCAGTAAAGACCGATGCCTGATCCAAGAGCATTCTCACATTGAAAGGGTCCCGTAGGTGCACCACACGTGGGGCCCTCAAGTCAGATGCCTGTGGTCTGTCCCTGGCTCCACTGCTTCCTTGCTCCAGGACCTGGGCACCTACCGCTGTCTTGGACTTCATGAGCATGTCATGAAAAGGGCTGGCTTTGGAGTCAGTAGAGACCTGGACTGAGTCTCACCTCTGCCTCTTACTAGCTGTGTGACCATGGACAAATCAATTAACCTCTCTGAGCTTCAGTTCCTTCATCTGCAAAATAGGCACAATAATACCTAGAGTACCTACCTCACAGGGTTGTTGTGAGGCTCAAATGAGATTTATAAACCTTAAATGTTGACTACGATTATTGGCCCCCAATTCCTTGACTAAAATTGGGATGCTACTTTGTGCCTTCTTCCTACCCACAGGAAATGTCAAGAATAGGAGCTCAAGGGGCAGCTAGGGGGTATAGTGGATAGAGTACTGGCCCTGAAGTCAGGAGGACCTGAGTTCAAATCCGGCCTCAGACCAAACACTTGACACTTACTAGCTGTGTGACCCTGGGCAAGTCACTTAACCCCAATTGCCTAAAAAAAAAAGAGAGAGAGAATAGGAGCTCAGCATGGGAGGAGCTGTGACTGGAAATATTGGCCAATTCCTTCATCAGTCAATCAATGCAATTTATTAAGTGTCTGCCATCTAGTGGGTGTGTTAGGTGATAGCAACAGAAAGACAAAGAATGAAATGATTCTTAACTGTCAAGGGACTTAACATTCTAACATGGGTCATATTCTGATGGGGCTTAGGCTTTAAGAGGAACAGAAGCAAGAGAAAGAGAAATATTAAGAGCAAACAGCTCTGGTCCAGGGAAGCAGGGAGAGCCCTAAGGAGTACATGGGGATATGCAAGGTCACAATCCATACAGGTTTGATTCCTCCCACTTACCTCCCTCAATCCAATCTCCCCCTCGCTATGGCCCAGCCTGGACCAGTGGGGAGACTTGAGACTTGAGCAGAGCCAGAGAATCCTGGAAGAGATCAAAGACAGGGGTAATTCAGATGTCCCCATTTTTGGAGGCAGACACCACAGCAGATCTCTCACCTTCCCGTGGTTGAAGGTTATCCCAACACCAGGTTAAAAAATGAGAGGCGACTTAATATCCCTAGATTCAGAATGAATCAATCAGTCAGTTAATAAACATTCTTTAAATGCTTAACATGTGTCAGGCACTGTGCTAAGCACTGGGGATACAGAGAAAGGCAAAAAGACAGTCCCTGCTCTCAAAGAAGTCACAGTCTAATGGGGATCAGTCAACAAGGATTTATTAAATGCCTATTGCCTGGCAGGCATCAGAAGATATAGAGTTAGAAATCTAGCTCTGCTTCTCAACTCATTGTGTGACTTGGGCGCCTCATTTCCTCTGTTCAGCCTTAGATTCTGCTATTGTATAAATTTAGAGAGTAGGACTAGATGTTCTCTAACGTGCCTTCCAGCTCTGAATCCAAGATCTTAAGATAGGGTCGTGTGTCCACTTTAGAAGAACAGAAATTCTCACGTTTCCCTACATTCCCAGTCCCCTTCCCTTGGTTGTTTACGATGTTGCCTCACACCTCATTTCCAAGGAAGGTGGAGACAAGACCGACTTTGCCTTCTTTCCTGGCGCCAGAAAAAGACAAAAGATGTAGAGCCCTGATAACCCTTGAGATGCAGCTCTGGTTGGGGGTGGGGGACACTCTTGGCATGTGGAGCAGCAATAGGAAACAGCTGTTGTTTTTCATAGGCAAGACCACAAGGCCAAAGGTGGCTACAAAGAATGAGGGATTTGGGGAAACTTCCTCTCTACTGAGCCCTCAATCAGTCAATCTCCTGCCTCTATACCTTTGAAAATCTGTTCCCCCATGTTTGGAATGCCCTCCTTCCTTACTTCTGCCTCTTAGAAACCCTAAGTACCTTCAAAGCATGGCTGGAGGGACTCCCTTCTACACTGGGTATTTCTGAATCTCCTGAGTTGCAACAAGGTAGGGAAGGCGGAGACAAGGAAGTCAGTAGAACTGGAATGTGTTTCTGGTCATCATTAATTAGTGACATGACCTTGGGCAAGTCAATCTCTGGCCTTGTTTTCTGGGTGCAGACGCAGCACATTCGATGTGTAACCAGTGACTTAGAAGAAAAAACTAGGATGAGAATCTCTCTAGTCAGAGCTTCAAAACACCTAGAAGAGATCCCTGCAGCCCCATTCCCGACATTTCCATTCCCTCCACCTGAACCCAGAAAATGTGGCTGTTGGAGTATCTCTCACAGATTGGAGACAGGAGACCCAGCACTTTTACAACATGCATATATCCTCTTTAGGGACCTCAGTTTCTTCCATGAAAAGAAGGGAGTAAATTGTCTCTAAAGTCACATGTAGCTCTGGCCTTCTATAAGACTTTGAGTCTCTAATGAAGAAAGGTCAAAATGAGAATTAATGATGTCCTACCAACTTCTCTGTCCACAAGGGTCACTCTCAGGACTGAGTAGTACCCCATGGTACCATTAAAAGGCCTGAAGGAAGAAGGAGGGGAAAGATAAGGAAAATAGTAATATTTCATTTTTTTGGACCTTTTTTTCCCCAAAGTGCTTTCCTATACAGTTAATCCTCAACAGTCAATGTTTCAGGGGTAACATTCCTAGAAAAAGGCATGAAAGACAAAAACATGAATGTTGATGCATTGAGCCCATGGGAAATAGGGGGTTAGGTTCCCTCGACCACAAAAAACTAATCTTTTGCTAGAGATTGATGAAAATAGACTTTTCTGCATGTAATTTTTTATAACAAAATGTTAATTCTGATAATAATATACACTTTTCCTAATGTAGTAATCATGAAATAACCCACAAAGTGCAGTATACAAAATAAAATTGGTAACATGCATTTCAGGGCAGCTAGGTGGCACAGTGCTGGGCTTGGAGTCAGGAAGACTCCTCATCCTGAGTTCAAATCTGGCCTCAGACGTTTACTACCTGTGTGACTCTGGGCAAGTCATTTAACCCTGTTTGCCTCAGTTTCCTCCTCTGCAAAAGAAGCTGGAGAAGAAAATGGCAAAACACTCCAGTATCTTTGCCAAGAAGACCCCAAAAAGGCCACAAAAAATCAGATGTGATTGTACAACCAAAACAATGCAGAACATTTTTTCTCACCAGTAATTCCCTGGAATTACGTGGTCTTTTGTGCTAACATTTCAATTAAAAAAATCATTTCTGAAAATATTCATATGACATCACACATGAAATCTACAGTACCATAAATACTGTATAGCAAATAAAATCCTTAAAATTAAAACAGTTTTTAACCTTCCACTGTGTCAGATGATGGTATGAAGGCATTGTACTATATGGTACACTGCTGTAAACCTCTCTACCTCGGCCACCTCTAAAAACCAAGGGAGAGGCTGCTGGGACTTTAGTCATTGCTGTTGGAAGATGCTGAGACTAGTGAGGTTTTGACATCGCTTCTGACTCTCTGTCCTTCACAGCTGGTGGATGGCACTGGAGATCATGAAGAATGCACCAGCTTGAAATATTCTATCAGTGACATATGCTTTGTTCACCATTTCTGAGATCCTTAAGGATCTTGGAGTATAGGAGCATAGCAGAGGCAAGTTGGTGTTTAAACTCGAGGCTGCATTCAATGATGGGATCGGCAGCCTCAATGTCTCTAGCCAGCTGGTCAATTATGCCAAGCCATCCTAGTGGGATACAAGCATTCCACAAACTTTCGAGCATTGTGCCCTTCACTTGCTTCTCTACTGGGGTTGCCAACAAGAAAGTGAAAAAGAGGTTACTAATAAAATGAATGCTTGAAGTAATGAAAGCTAAATATACAAATGTTGAGAATTACATTATCTCTTCTGATAGGCAGGGATCATAATCTCCATTTGCCAAATGAAGCAACTGAGATTCAATCTTTCAATCATTTATTAAGCACTTGCCTTGTACCAGGTACCTTGATAGGTGCTAGGGACATAGAAAGAGAGAGAGAAGAGCTATAAAGACATATACATGTACATGTGGATGTAGAGAGAGAGAGAGATGGGGGGGTGCTATAAAGACATATATGTGTATATATGTATATGTGTGCATATATAGAAAGAGCTACAAAGACATGTGCATATATACATATGTATATATGTATGGCTATAAAGAGGGCCATAAAGACACGTATATGTGTGTGTAGAGAGAGAGCAATGGGGGGGGGCTATAAAGACATATATATGTATATGTGTATAGAGAGATAAGGCGGGACTATAAAGACATATATAATGTATATGTACATATGTATATGTGTATATATAGAAAGAGCTAGAAAGATATATATGTGCATATATATGCATATATGTATGTATATAAAGAGGGCCATAGACACATAAATGTATATATGTATGTATGGAGAGAGATAAGGGGGGCTATAAAGACATATATATGCATATGTATGTACGTATGTATATATAGAAGGAGCTATAAAGACATATGTATATAGGTGTGTATATGAAGAGTGCCATGAAGACATACACACACACACACATATACATATGTATGTGTCTTTATATCCCTAACACTTATCAAGGTACCTGGCATATGTGTATGTATGTATATGTACATGTAATGTATATGTGCATGTATATGTAAATATATTATAATATGTATTTATAAAGATATAAATAAAACAGTCTCTGCACTGAAGGTACTCACATCCTATATGGGGAGATAGTGAGTATGCTTATAAATGTATAGAATAAATCCAAGGTAAGTTGGCAGAGGAGTCACCAGCAACTAGAAAAATCAGGAAAGGCTTTGTGGAGGAGGCAGCATTTGAGGTGAGCTTTGAAGAAAATTGGGGGTTTTAAAAGGCAGAGATGAGGTAGAAGTACATTCCGTCACGGCAGATAACCAGTACAAAGAAATGGAAATG